GAAGAAACTATTATATTGTCTTCATCACATAGCATTATTTTATTATTTATGTATGTACTCTCCATATTGCATTGTAGCTGTTTCTATAAATTGCTATATCCTGTGTCCCTGTATGGCTGTATCGCCGTGTGAACTTGCACCTTACTTTTTAACAATTTGTGTGTAGCAAATGCATTTCACTTTTTTGTTGATGTCAAGCGATTTTTTTGTATGAGTAGGAGGTTCATTACCTTGTCTGTTCCTGATGCATGTAGCAAGTAAGATAATGACACTATCAGCCTATGAAGTGAAACAATACAAGTCTGAACCAGCAGATTTCCTACATTGTCTGGCTTTTTATCATTTATGTGTAGCGAATGCATTTCACCTTCTTGTTGCGGTGTAATAAAGGGCTACTACAGATTGTTGCTTTCAGGTTATTATCCTTTTTGTGGGTTTGTTCCTATTGAACTAAAGCTTCATTTGTACTTACAGGAACAAGTATTCACTGAAAATGATGGTTTTTACGCTTGGATGTTTCTCAAAAGACGGACCTTGTGGCAGACGATTCTTTCATTTATCTGGCCTGTCTTTGCGTTGGCAGTCTGCTTATTTCCAGTTTACCCATACCAATGCAAGATTGTGGTACTGTACTCTTGCGCTGGAGCTTTACTGTTCATTGTATCCCTGCTTTTGTGTAAGATTCCCTTCCTGAATCTCTCTCATATTTGCCATCTTCTGGTTTTGTAGTGGCAGTTAGCCCTAGCAGTCTGAGTTGCGTGTATTGCTAGTTATGCATTAAAAATGCACATTCTCTGTGTTGCATTCATGAATAATATGCCACTATTTAGTATTTTTGTAAAGGAAAAGCCTTGTATATCAGTTTCACAGAGGCATAGTTAAGTTGCTATGGGAGTATCTAACATTTGATTTTGCATGCTGCTTGCGAAACTTTAAGTATGCCTGTTGGTGGCACCGTCTGGAGTAGAACTAAATGTCTCAGCTGGCACTGCTGCACATCTATTTGCATGATTGACATAGAGCTGCAAATTTATTCAAAATAACAGTAGGCAGGTCGCCATAACTCTATACCTGCCAGGCACTGTTATAAAGGGCTTCTACCTAGCCTGCCCTAGGGGTTGCCTAGCCTAGGTTCCATTTCTCCTTTGGATTGGGTTTCTTCTTTTGTGTTGTACATGATAAAGTTTGAACATATTTTTGTTTCTTCATGTACAATATCTTCATTTCATATATTCCTTAGTGAGAGAACATAAGAAATTCGGCACTAGGAATTGTTAAGTGACGCGGTTTCAGGCAAACATTTACCAGCCGGCTGTTACTAGTGCTGTTGGTGCATGCTTATGTTGCTTCTATTGCCATACTATTTTATGTGGTGGGATTATCCCACATACCCACTTGCATTCCTTTGTTAGATTCTCTAAATTTGGGAATGATGATATTTGTTTACATGTTCGATGGAATTGCAGTAAGAGCTGCCATCTTTGGCGTACTATGGGTTCTTCTTGGAAAACGGGTGTGGTTCTTCCCCAATATAAATGCAGAGGAGACCACATTTAGAGAACTCGTTCGGTTTTGGCCTGTGAAGGATGAGGGAGAGCGACCAAAGTGGACATCAAGACTTTTCTATACTACTGTTGCCTTATTGGTGATATTGCTGCTTAGACATCACGCTCCAGATGAAGCAGCTAGAGCGAGGTAATTTCTTTTCTATAATACATTTTCCTATCTCATGCCTTAGTGTCACCTGAGCGATGAACTCGGTCAATGAAGTGTTCTATCAAGCACACCTCCTCTGCATTCAGCAATATATTCCAGGCACCTGCCTTCCATTTTTTGGCACATATGCAGTTAAACTTTCAAGATAGCTCCTATGCAATTGTTATTTCGACAGTCCACAGTTTGTTCCCAGAATAGAGAAATCACATGTTTGGTTTGCACCTGTATTGGGTCACTGTGTTCAACTAGAATTTATATACTAGCAAAAGTGTATATTTTCCTGTCAAAGAGAATACTATCAGTATAGATGTGGTTCTTGCCATGAATTATAACTAGTCGTGTGTTGCCAGGGAGGCACCGGACCCTGGTAACGGAGGGCTTGAAATCTAGTTGCATAACCTTCTATTTTTCTCTGTCTTCAGGTACCAAAAGAAGGTTTCTAATATAATTGATGATGTCCTTGAGTGGTCTCCGAAGTTGGCTCTGTCTGGGATGATGGATAAACATACTGAGGATAATGTGACAGAAACTAGCAATTACACCAGCCATGCCACAACGAGTACTGAAGAATGTACAGATGCAGCCGAGGATGAGGATGCAGATGAAACCCAAGGTGCTGCTGATGATACGAGAACAAGATCTAGTGAAGTTTAAAATGGAAATCAAACTTCTAAATTTGATGGAAATTTCATAAGTACTCTTGTGGGTTCTAATTATACGGATATAGAAAATTTGGGGTGTTCAATCTGACCATGTTTTGTTCGTATATTGCCACCGATCAGCTGTACTCGTAAAGGAAGTGTTGTCAAAACCTAAAGCATATTACCTTTTTTGCTTGCATGTGGCTAGTTTTTTAAATGCGTGTTTCACAGGATAGTAGTAGTAGATTTGTGGCGGGGGCACCTTTTCTTTATGGGATTTTTATTTTGATGGCTCTCACTGTTTAGTCCTCAGTTTTGCCCATGCTTGTTTGCAGTCCTCACTTTTCCCCCTCTATCGCGTGGTCCATCCTTACAAAAGCCCGAATGGGGGTTTTACTGTCTGGTCGAAGTCTTTGACTGATACTGGGTGCACTTGTAGGTCGAGGACGGGGCATGGACCCGTTGGTTGGGCAACTGAGGTTGTTGCCAGCCCATCGAGTTCATGGTTTGGACGCGCGGTGTTCACGGAGTTTTTTCTTAAAACAATGCCAATGAAGGTTAATCCTTGGGTTGGTCTTATTTTTTTTGCGCACTCGTAGGTAGGCCTAGAGCATATAATGCGTGATAAAATGGTGGCTTATTATTATGCTATAAGAAGGGGGCTCGAACTTGAGACCACCCCAGAGCATATAACGCGTGATAAAAAAAAATGGCTTATTATTATGCTATAGGAAGGGGACTCGAACTTGAGACCACCCGCTTATAGAGTAGCGCAAACGTCAAATGACCTAATGTGTAAATGTGTTTTTATAACCGTTGATTTCGTATATGTAGTGGAGTACACCGCTGGGGTCTGAATGTTTTCTTGCCTAGTATTTGAAATTCTCATAAATGACCTTTTTTTTAGAAGGAAGTGCCTCAAATAATTTTGAAATTTCTGCCATTTCATTTTTCATCAAGAGTAGGCCACATTGGATGGCCACTAACCAAGTTTCAGCCATTTCAGAGTAATATTGCCTTGTTCCATCCACTTAGTTGAGTTTTAGTGAATTATCAGATCTTGCCTAAATTTAACTACAAGAGTGATGTAGTTTGGTTCTGAAAATTGCCAAAAATCGTTTTATGCTCTAATGTTGGTGGTGCATAAACTCGGGACAAACAAAGTTGAAATTCCAAACCATTTTGTATGAATGGTCAACATTTCAAGTTTGATCCCATTTAAAAAGAAAAGAAAATGAAAATGTTACGCAAACCTTGGGTTCGCTAGCATCAGCGTTTCGACCCACATGCGTCAACCAGGCCCAACCGGAGAACAACACCGATTTATGAGAGGCCTTGGGCCCTCCCCTCCAAAGGACTAGCCTGTTAGGAGGGGACACCCCCATTTTTATAAGTCGTGTTATGCCTCCCCTGGTTTCAGAGTGAGGTTCGAAGAGGTCGCGGATTGTTGATCTAGAGAAGATCGTGGTTGTGTAAAAAAGGTCTATGACAGGCGACGCGATTGGGCGACAACGGATGTTGCGGGCAGTTTTCATGTCGCGGAGAAGTCTCGGCCAGTACAGCAACAACGACACGAATCGAAAGCAATCGGTAACTAGCAGCAGCAGATCAATGAGGCGGCAGCGATCCAGTCATTGAAGGAGCACAGTGATTTGGGTGGCGTGATGCAGCATGCGGCAGCCGGTCACAAGAAGCGACAGCGGATCATCGTGAGCAGCGAGTCGTTGGTGTAGGTCTTTCGTGGGCAGATTGGATCGATCCAGATCGATGGAAGTAGCGGTGGCTGCAGCACAGTCACGCAAGGCCGCCGACGGCAGATCGATGGATCTTCGATCGGGAGCAAAGGCGCCGGTGCACGCGCCGGTGCCCTGGCGCGTGCAAGGTTCAAGGCCCACGTGTGGGTGCTGGTGGGCCAGAAGCGCAGCGAGGCCGAGCAGAGTCTGCGGGCCACATGACCGGCGTGATTCACTTCGGCAGACAACATACGTAGTAGCAGGCGGACGAGCGGAGCTAGGCCAGCGGCAACTTCAGTTGGCGAGCGTAGCAGGCAGTGCTCTCGCGAGTAGCAAGCGTACGAGGCTGGGTCAAGTTGAAGAACTGCCCGTGGGTGAGCAGACTGGGTGCTTGTACAGACGTGAGATTTGTTGGATGAAAAGAGGAAGCTACGCAACAGGCTGAAGCTACTCATCGGGAGGAAGAGATAGGAAGCCTAATGGACCTACAGCCTACAGGAGCACATGGTGGAGTTGGAGATTTTGGATCTTTTGATTTTCACGGTTTAGTGCACGCAGAAGGCTTATGTGGTGGATTTTTGGCTTTATTTCTTTGTACACATGATGTGTATTGGGATGATAGTGTAACATCCTATATATATCATATTTTAATATATATACACTAGATCATCAATATATATCATATTTTATTTGCTTTTGGTCTGATCCAGAAATTCTACGCAACTCAAGGACCCTCGGAGAGAGTTAGGGATTTCGTTATTTTCATATTTGGGTTTCTCTCAAATTTTAAAAATATGATCATTTGATTTTATTTATTTTATCTTTAATTATTTCTATTAAAAAATTATGAGAGAGGGAATAAAATGACTTTCCAAAAATAAAGAAATATTGAGGATTTAATAAAAAAAATCAAATATGATTCTTTTTGGAGTTTTTGCTATTTTATTTGAATTTAGAAAAAAATGCACAATTTTCAAAACTGCATTTTAGGCCAAGAAAATGTTCATCTCGTTTTAAATATTTTATTTAGACGGTGAAAATTTGTTTTGGCATTTTTAGATTTTTATTTATTTTTCTAGAATTTATTTTCTGTTCAGCGGATTTTTTTTTAAAAAAAATGCGCGAGAGCCCGACTGGGCCAAGGCCCAGCCGAGCCGGGCCGGCCTCGCCAGCACCACCGCCAGCCCCGCCGTGTCGCCGTCGGACTCGGGGAGTCCGACCACGAGCCGCCTCCGCCGTCGCCCTTTCCCCAAGCCGGCCGAGCCCCCCTCCTATAAATATGCC